ACAATTTCCTATTCTTTTATTTTAAGAAATTAAGATATAGACCAGTATTTACAGTCAGTTCTTATATTTTAGGCTCCTAGGTAGTCACCACAGCCATATTAAATCGTGACGTCGAAAGCGAAAAACGACACGTTAATTTTTGTTAGGTACCATTTGTAAATGAAGACGATCTAGATAAAACAAAATGATGATTTTGAAACACTTGTAAAAATGGACGAAAATTATGCTCACCTCCCTTAAACAGTCAATAAATTGTAAAAAGTGATAAAAATCACTTGTAATTGAAAATAAACTACACATGCACATTAAAAACTTCACGTGCCTTTTATTACTCTTTATGATTATTTACTGACTATCGGGGGAGGAGAAGAAGGTAAGAATAGCTTTCATCCAATTTACAATTATTTTAAAGCAATCTCATATCATTTTATCCAAAATCTGTACTGACAAATGGTATGTAATAAAAATGAATGTATTATTTCCTGCTTCTGGCATTATGATTTAATACAGCTAAATATTCTGGAGCATTAAAACCATATCAAATACAGTGATATAAGATATCATAAGCCAATCATAAAACTGCACCTTAAGACACTTACTTGAAATGGTTTTAAAATAAGAACAGACTTATCAGCAAGAGATAATGTTTGTACCTGATAGCCTGCACCTATGAGAGCTGAGAAAAACATAGCATGACTTGCAGGCCTAAATACATCTCCATGCACCTGTTTCCAACCATACTCATCGCCTAAATCTCTTTCCATATCATCCATCTCCTCGTCTCTACTATATCTGGCATAATCTTTTCTTAAAGTTCGCATCAAAATCATTGAAACAAGCCCGACGAGAAAAATCACCATCATAAAGCTGTTAAAGATGCTAAACCAGTGTATCTGGAAAAAAAAAAAAAGAATTTGTACTTTATACACTAATGCTTTTTACGTTTTGTATTAGAAAGCTTTGTTTATTATTATTTATTTGTATTATTTTAAGAAGTAAAACTGTTATACAAACTTACTCTATGCTGAAAAAAATTAGGATCCAAATACTTGTCGAATCTATCTTCAAATTTAATATTGCTCTTCTTCCAATTGATTTCATAGCTAAAAGGTATACGCGTACCTTGCACCAGTTTCACCCTATTGTCACTGGTCAGATTTACATCCACTATTTGCTTACCATTGTATCCAATATCAAACTTTTTATGCGTCCAGATATAATAAGAATCTGATACGGAAACTCCATCACTGTTTTCCATCTCTCCTACCACACCTGTAACACAATAATTTATATGTCAGGTTCTACTGCTTTGTTATACGTAATTGAGAAATATTGTATTATATTAATTACCCCATATTGGTAAATCATCAATATACATCTGATACCAATACTGATTCTTTATTGCATACGCAAACGCTTTCTGACTTTCTTCGTTTAAACTTATCTGACAGTATTCTGTTTTCGAGATATCCTCTGAAACATCCAATTCAACTTTCATGCTCCTGCACTTTGTATATTCTTGAGACTATTTTCTACAGCTGAACTAATATATACTTTGGAAACTTAAAATGAAATAGATATATGTTTAATATTAGAAAAAACAAAAAATTCTAGTCTAATGTAAGGATAAAAAAACAGATTTTTGATTGAATAATACTGATTAAGTAATTATAGGCCTGTTCATGCTAGCTTTTGCACATAGAACCTTTGTTTTTTTTTTCGTACTCCTGAATGTATTTATCTCATTTTAAGAACAATAATTTATTTTTAGGGATTTCAAGCAATACAAACTAATCATATATGTTTAAGTCAACATCAATTATAAGTATATACTAGTCATATATGTGTGTGCATACCTTTGAATTCAATATCTAAACCACTGAATTTCAGCTCGATACCCTGAAGAGCCTCTGCTAAGGTCTCGTGATAATGATTAATAACATTCTTAGTACCTGTACAAAAGGGTAGGGAATAATATGAATATGTTTCTTGACGATTGTGGTATGGTCCTACGGTGCTCATCCATAGCACAACCTCGTCGCCATCCTCATACTGAAAACAAGTAATACATCCATCTTTAAAATACTCTCAATATCTAACTGATTTATGTCATAATTCTAAAGCGTCAATTATAGCGTTTAATAAGAAAAAAGTTAAAAAAATACAATTAAAATAGAACTACATTGCAGAATCAAGATAAAATTTATTCAAAGTATTATAGCATGTGATAAGAGGAAGAGTAGAATGCAATGCAATACAATTGAAATACAGCTACATTAGAATTGAAATGGAATTTATGAGTAGTATTTAGATGCAATAATAAGCGATTTTTCTAATACATATTAAGTAGAACGGATATCTGGTTTTGATGTGGTAATTCAGTAAATCAGTATGAACATACAACGCAAGAGAAAGTGAGGGAGAGAAAGAGAGAGAGAAATATAATATCAAGACATCTTTAAGGCGCGATGCTTGGCCTTTAAATGCCAATAGCAGGTCGCAGTAGGCAACCTGACATTCCGTGGTTTCCGTGGCTGGAATGACGTGTTACAGGTAGGCGTCGCCAGAATATACTCACGATGTGCGTATGCTCATCGGCGCGGGCCGACAGGACGAGAAGGCCGAGCGACAGCAAGCAGAGGAACCGCCGTCCTCGACACATGTTGGCCAGTTCCTAAACGACGAGGCGCGCCGACCGGCCGGGATTCCCTTTACGCGTATGCACGAACGAGAGGAGATCTCACCAGCGAGATGCGGCGACAACGGATAATCTCCATATAGATTTCGTAATATACGCCGTGGCGACTCAGCAGCATCAACACAAGCGGGGGAGAGACACCGAGCGCACAGAACACAGAGTTGATGGATGGACCCCGATGGACACGTATGAAGTATATACCAAAACGATGTATTCTGATACTCCATACACTGCGGCCGTAGATAGCGCAGATCAGTGTTGGCAGAGAGAAACCTGAGAGCGGCCACGGCGGCCTTCTTTCCTGTAATGCTCTACACTAGCGGCACCAACGTCCATTTCCGAGCTGCGGGAACACAAACGGAAATTCAGACAGGAATTTCATTGGCCCATTTTCTTATGCATGAGTCAATGGGCCAATCGAATTCTTTATGTATATGGTTTATGCGTTATGCAAAAGTCTGTGCTTCCCGCTTAAGAGCCCCAACACACACTTTTGCATAACGCATAAAGCATGTGCATAAGGAATTTCATTGGCCCATTTTCTTATGCATGAGTCAATGGGCCAATCAAATTCTTTATGTATATGGTTTATGCAAAAGTCTGTGCTCCCCGCTTAATTCAAACGCGCACGATAACCGTTATCTCCTTTATTAAAGCGTGGCTGCAGACTTGACTCGTCTTCACTTGCAACGACTTCTTCTTGAATAATATTATACTTGGCGCGCTCGCCACGATGACGTCACAGCCAATCTCTGACGACCAGCGATCAGCGGACTAATCGGAGGTTTCGTAGGCCTGAGAGCCAATCACGCGCATCGGCTGCGGTGGCGCTTGGAGCGAACACTATCGAAGCGCCATCGCTGACAAAGGCGCGAAGTTTAAAAATAATAATATGACCGTGTATCGAATCATATATAATTATATGTGAACGTGTATCAAATCATATATGATTGGATACAATTATATATAAGTTATAGATAGTTATATATGTTTATGTATGGTTATATAGAAAAAATTTTATGTATTGAGTACATATTCAAATTAGTAGGTACGATGTTCTATGGATATACGCCAAAAAGATTTTATATTTTTATAATTACATCTTTTCTAGTATATTTTTTAGTACATTTTGTTTTAAAGTTAAGTTTGCGTTAATTTATATATCCCTATAAGATAAGAAAAACTGTAAAAGTACACTTTAATATTTCTGGGGAATATTTCTTATTCATTTCGTGTTGATTTTGTGCTGATAATTGAAATTTTCAATACATTTGTTTACAGGTAATAAACTTTAGAAAATGTAAATATGTGCACATAAAATACGAATATAATTTATTTAATTCGAAACGAACGTCTAAAAAAAACGAAGCGCGAGAGTAACAAAAACGGCACAAAATTCAGGAAAAAGAACATCACTATCATAAAAAGACATGTTCACAGTAGATTTGCAATCAAGATTCTTATTTTATAACTTAGTAGAAAGGTGACTTATAATCTTAAGACAGTTCTTGTGCGTTAAGGCCATCATGGGCCTTCTACAATAAGCCATAAGTCATAAATCGGAAGTAAGAAATTAAAAATTGACGACTGTGATTGGTCCATTTCTAGCTTATGACTTATGATTTGTAACTTACGGCTTATTTAAAATTGACGAAAAATTATTTTTTAAGTGATGAAAACTGATCCCCTTCTGTTTATAATTATGGTATTGTGCCACAAAACATTATGTAGTATTTCTTTTTGATTTTACTTTATTATTTTCCATTATAGCACGTATAAGGTGTCTGACTAGCGAAGCTTCTACCGGCCGCCACTAGGAGCGCGCAGAGAGATCTTTGCATCGCCAATTGCGGGTACCGACAAACAATTCACTTCTTTGTGAAGTTAGTTAATATTCGTTAAAAAAATAAAAATGTACTAAAAGTTTATTACATTTCTATCCTCTATATGAATCTATAAGGTTAACGACGTTTGAATTGGAGCGGGAGTTGCCACAAACGACGGACCAATCAGAAATTGTCTCTCTCGTGTCCAGACTCTGGTATAGGGTCTCTAGATAAGAAGGATTATGATTTGTTAATTCTCTTAAGGCCTGCAGACCAGAGCGGCGCAGCGGTGAAGCGGCGAGCGATAGCCAATGACAGCCATGCTTTTGCGTAAAAGTATGGCCCTCATTGGCTATCGCTCGCCGCTTCACCGCTGCGCCCCTCTGGTCTGTAGGCTCCTTTAGCATCATGCAAGAGTGCGTACTGCGGCCATTACTCGAAACTGCGTCTGCCTGCGTCAGCCGAGAGTCGAAATCGTGCGATTCGTCAAAATTACCACGTGCTGTCGGAAGAATTCGTATACGCGAAAAATCGAATTTGATTTTTTTCCGTCGATCTCGATCCACCAAGTGTGCGTCTTTACCCCTCTTCAATCTGACGAATCGGTAAGGTGACATCGCCTTCGTTCGACCGCGGTAGGCACGGTATACGTGAATTGACCGCTCAGAGGGTCAGAGGAGCGCCATAGTGAGCCATAACGACTGTGCGGCACGGTAAGTGTTACCGTTCAATTTCACGTACATCCTCGCGTACCCGGGAAATTTCGCCCCGTCCGATCTCCGCGCGAGAATCGCGGCGAAGTGACGACGTCGCGATCGTGACGTGCGGGAAAGTCGCGTCGCGAGAAGCCACTCACCGAAAACAAATCGGGAGGAAAATTCTCGGCGATACGCTGGGCGCCATTCCCCGCCGGCGTGGTGGTAAAGGCGCAACCCCCTCAAGTCTCCGGATTTGACCGGTTCCCGGATTTGAAAGGCTCTCTGCTCCGATTCTCTTCCGTTCATCGGTCACCGGGGGCCGGCAAACCCTCGTCGAGCGTCGTCATCGCGCGAATCCCCGCGGAGTAGCGTTAACTGGATTTTTTTTCCAGACGGTCACCGTTTCAAATGCGAGATCGCGAATTTTCCCTGATTGACCACGTCCTCCCTCCTCTCTCTCTCTTTCCCCCGCCTCCCTCCCTCCCTCCCTCCCCCTCTTGGACCGCATCCCAATCGATCACTCGAGCGTTCGCGACTTCCCGTGGAAGAGCGACCGCTTTGGAGTCTCGGCACGTCAAAACCCATGCCGCGCGCATACCGCTCCGTTCGCGCTTTTTTCGCTCGTCTAAACAGACGACCGTCCGACTAGGGGTGCGTTTCATTTTCACGCTCCATGCATCAGTTCAGCCTTGTGTATTAAATATTGAACTAGGACAATTGTAAGCACACTGTAAACATATCCTATAGGTATCTAATACAGTTTCTCACATTGCAGAATTGTGTTCCTAATTTTGAGCAAGTCCACGGAAAATTAACGATTAAAATATGGCAAATGAACCTGATATACCCACCTTCAAATGCGTCCTAGTCGGCGATGGTGGTACTGGCAAGACCACCTTTGTGAAACGGCACTTGACTGGTGAATTTGAGAAGAAGTATGTCGCCACTCTAGGAGTTGAGGTCCATCCGTTGATTTTTCACACTAATCGTGGACCGATCCGTTTCAACGTCTGGGATACGGCTGGTCAAGAGAAATTTGGCGGCCTTCGCGATGGCTATTATATTCAGGGTCAATGTGCTGTAATCATGTTTGACGTTACATCGAGGGTAACATATAAAAATGTACCCAACTGGCATAGGGATCTGGTCCGTGTCTGTGAAAACATCCCAATTGTCCTTTGTGGTAATAAAGTTGACATTAAGGATAGAAAAGTCAAGGCCAAGAGCATTGTGTTTCATAGGAAGAAGAACCTCCAGGTATCTTTATATGCAAATAACATTAACTGTATATTTACTTGTACATCCTTCAGCTTTGTTTTTAACTTTTTATTAATTATTTAATGATGATTCAGTAATCTGATGTAGAGTGAAGACATTATACTGTCCCTCTAATCTGAAAATCCTATTATTGTGTACAGTATGTAGGATCTAATGGACAAATTGCAGGAGCATATTGTATAAGATAAGAAAAAAAAAATGTAATATGAAATTTGGAATGCTTTATTGCAAAGTTATAAGTAAATATTAAAATAAAATACACACGAAATAATAGGGTTTAACTCCCAGCTGAGATAATATATTTTTCGCAATAAAAAACTAATTATTTACAGATTTTAATAGGTCATTCAACATTATCAAGATCGATATAAGACGCGCAAACAGCATAAAAAATCGTTAAATTGTTAGTCAATTTAATTTGTGATATTACTGCACTAGTTTATTAGTGTTGTGTTTCAATCTGAAAAAATTTCGGCGCACAATCAAAGATTTACGTACGTAGTATATAAATTCAAATGCAATTATATAGAACCCGTGATTCAGCTTAGACCGTTACGGCTTGTTCTCATCGGTTTGAATTCTCGCAGTCCATTAAGAATTGATAAATGTTTATGTAACCGATTTTCAAAATATTATATTTGAGTAAAATGGCAATTGGTGAAATATATGCAATATTTTATTTCGATAAACGATTATGCGAAGATAATAGATCTATATATGTTTTAATTTTGTAAACTTTGTGGCAATGCTTTCAGATGAGTTTTTTGTGAGAGTAACAGTGGTCACAGCAAATTCCATTTTTTCAAAATATGATTTAGAAAAGATTGGATAACAATATTGTTTTTAAAGTTTAAATGTAAAATAGAAAAAAAATGTGATCTTTATAATAGAATCTAGTTTCCTTATTTAGCTGTATGTCGTAATCTGTAAAAATTGATCAATCACAGTCAAGTATTCCCTTCTTATTTAACTGTAAGGCCCAATTGCACCGACGTGATTTTGATTTTAAGTGAGACTTAAACTCTCTTTCGGCTTTACAAGATAGAGTTTTAAGTCTCGCTTAAAATCAAGTAATGTTGATGCAACCGGGCCTAAGAGAGGAATATATAATAATTGATAGGAATATAATCGACTGTAATTAGTTAATTTTTACAGATTATATATATATATATATATATAATAGTTATAGCTAATATAAATGCTTCTATAGATTTCGTTTTAATGTGTCTAGGTATCTATGTATGTATATTCCCTTAAAGATAGCATATGTGACATGAATACACACACATGAGATAAATATGATCTTTCCAACATAAGATGTACACTTCCTATTATGCATAATGGAAAATCCGTTTCATATTTCATTTCAATAATTGTTTATGACTCAGCAATAAAGCATTTCTAGCAAAAAACTGCATATAACACTTTTTCTTATTTCCACTTGTAGAATATACTTCTGCAGTTTGTCTGTTAAATCCGAGACACTATGTATAATTTTACAAGGTATATAAAATGTATAAAATCTTTATGTTACAGTACTACGATATCAGTGCAAAAAGTAATTACAATTTTGAGAAACCTTTTCTATGGTTAGCGCGCAAGCTGATTGGAGATCCAAACCTCGAATTTGTCGCTATGCCTGCGCTGCTACCACCAGAAGTCACTATGGACCCACAGTGGCAGCAACAAATTGAGAAAGATCTCAAAGAAGCTCAAGAGACAGCATTACCAGAAGATGATGAAGATCTTTAGTTTATTTAACACATTGGGGATGGTCTTTACAGAGAGTAAGGCCTATTATGCGGGTGCTCCGTGGTTGTATCATGCACTCGTACATCTTCATAGAAGTCGAAGATTCTTTCTTTAAGAAAAATATAATTTACATGCAATATTTCATTCAATGCTTTATGCTGGGCACCCAACTTCTGTAAACTTGCATGTTACATGTATAGCCTTAAAGACGGGTCGCTTGAATACGTTATAATACGGAATGAGCAACATGTGTGTGACTGTGTATGCGATTTGCACTTGAATGTCTAGATTTTATAAAATTCTTATGTAATGGTGATTATCACGTAAATTAGAAACAGAATAAAGTAATAGTGAAACTGTGGAAATGACTTGTGATACGAATTCATAGAACCCAGTTTGCTGAAGCTGATGCAACGTAATATGAAACAACTGAGAAATAATTCATTACATTTTCTGATTCGCTCGCGATTTGTATAGATGTGCGTGCGTGCGTGTGTATGTACATATATACATAAGAAATGGAATTGTGTAAGGCGTGCTGTATATTAAACACACAATCACGCTAACCCACTTTAAGGCATATAAAAAGTAACATCTCATTTGTTTTTTTATTTTCAGTTTACTTTCATACTTTCCTAACACAAAGTCTAAGATAAAAACTGCCAATTCTGAAACGGATAAAATTGTGAGCAAAACTGCTGTCAGGTTTAAATGCAGCAAATAGAAATGCACTGGTACCAAATGCGTCTTTTTACAAGTCTAGATACATTCTCTGTAGCGATTGGTTAATCGGCCAATCGCAAGAAAAGATGCTCGGTGCAAGTCGCTTCAATCTCGCTATAATAGAACAGGATAACACGTTTGCTCTCGATTAAATGCAAACACAATAGATCAGTATGCAATGATTAATTTATGAGAAAGAATCTTGCGATATATACAAAATTAATATTAGAAGTCACTGTTTACATACTTAAGTATGAACAGCAAAGTAAAACTGGACTGAAAAGAATCATTTAAAAAAAAACTAACTTATGCCATATATACACTTTCTTGATGAAACTGCTTGAGAAACTTATTAGTATGTAAATTGAAAGGTACGAATGTTGAAAGAGCGACCATCTTTCGTAAGTATTTCCCATGATGTAGTCTTCTATTTTAATAGAATGTTTCGAGATTGAAGTGAAACAGATTCGTAACCTGTTGCGTCTGTCCCGTTTCGACAAGGACTGTTTGCTATTTTTATAAGCAAAAGATGTATGTATAATTTGTTCAACTTAAATTATATGAAGTATTTTTTTTCTACACAAGAAAACCCATTCTCTTTGTTAGGAGTTTGTGAAATTGTTAACCTTCCCCTTTGAAATCCATTCTCATTAATTGAAAAATCTGATGAAAAAAAGTACGTTACATGTAAATTACATTGCTGAATATCTAACATAGAAAGGAATTGGGAATAACACATTACAACATGTATATTTAATTCTTGTATACTTCTAATAGCGTTTCATTGTTCTATTTGAAACAGATTGTATCACACTGATGTACGAACTTTAATAAATTATCAAACTGTTTTTGAAGCTATAATGCTCTCAGATTCATGTTAATCCGTATAATCTACTTTACCAATGTTTTGTTTATTTAAAACTTTACTCATACATCTATTAATACAGATACACAAAAATTGAAGAAGGAATGAAAGTAATACTTTATTAATACATACAAGGTAGTCCAATAAAATGTTACAAGCTATTGTCTCTGAAAGTGTGTGTCAAAAAAATTATGTTCAGATAAATTTTTGTGATTTCAAGGGAGACACAAGATGGAAACATCGATTTTCTTGGGTGGCAAATTAAATTTTCATTACCTTGCGCAAGGTAATGAAATTTAATGTAATCCTTCAGTTTATTACTTATTGAAATTATAAGGCTTGAAAGTTATCGCTGACATTTGTATTACTCAAATGCCCAAATAACTAAACCTTTCGAATGTTGTTCTCGAAGTTGTAAAACTTTTGTCTGAACATATTTTTCTCATTTGACACATATTTTTGAGATAGTAGCTTGTAACACTTTATGTGGGTCATCCTGTGTATGTATAATATTAATAACATGTATCAATAACTGAGTTGATATTTGTTCTTTGTTAATGAATAAAATTATATGATTTACAATGTAGTAAAATGCGTTTTTTATTATCATTATTGTATTATCTATGATGGTCATATCTTGCGCATCTTATTACTTTCACTAAGCTGATTTATGTTTTCTTTATTTATTACACAGAACAATTCTGCTTTATTTTGTAACAAATATTTATCGAGTCTAATTTTGTTGTGCTTTCTTTTCCTTCTTCAGTAGTGCCTTTTTGCCTTCGAGAAGATCATGTCGCTCTGAGTCCGTAAGTGATTTCAGGGTGTTAGTGATTACACCAGTTCCTAGAGTTACCATTCCATCTCGTAATGTAAAACGGTGTCCCTTTTCCAATACCATTGGTCTTATCAATTTTAGTATAATTCTGTAGTAAAAATATAGTGAGTACATAAAAATGAACGTAGAAAATAATAAAATTCTTGAAAAATAAATATCTTACGTGGAATCTTCTCCTGGCATGGCCAAGTCCTTTCCCACTACCGTACATTGTGCTGCAATGTCCCACGTTCTACAGAACATCTGTAATTGTATCATATTCGCAACAGGTTTTTTTCTACCACCTTCTTCTTTACTTAACAAGTACACTTGTGCTTCTACATGATCGTACGCTTTCATAGAGCCAGGTTTACACATTATCATGCCTCTTCTTACTTCGTCTCTCTTTAAGCCTCTCACTAAAGCGCCAAGTTGATCCCCGGCGTGAGCTTCTTCCAATATTTGATGGAACATCTCTATACCTGTGACCGTGCTTTTAAAAACTTTGTTATAACCAATAAACTCGCATTCCGTTCCCTTCTTTAGTTTACCACGCTCTAGTCTACCGGTAACCACGGTACCTCTACCAGGAATAGAATATACATTCTCTACCGGAAGTAAGAAGGGCTTATCCAGTTCTCTCATTGGAGTCGGGATATGTTTATCTACCATTTCTAGCAGCTGCAGGACAGCTTGTGAACCTATTTCAGGACTTTTCCCTTCAAGTGCGCAAAGTGCACTACCTTTTGCTATTGGAATATTATCGCCGTCGTAACCCATTTCAGAAAACAACTCTCGTATTTCCATTTCTACCAATTCTACCATTTCTGAATCAGCAGCATCAATCTTGAAAAAATTAAATAAAATTGTGAATACGTTTATTATTTAATCCTTACTACTTTTATATTATATTAATAAATACCTTGTTAATAAACACAACAATATGCTGGATACCAATTTGTTTAGCAAGGAGCAAATGCTCTCTAGTTTGTGGCATTGTACCATCGGTGGCAGCAACAACCAATACAGCGCCATCCATTTGAGCAGTTCCTGTGATCATATTTTTTATATAATCAGCATGGCCTGGGCAATCTGTGTGTCCATAATGACGACTTTCTGTTTGATATTCAATATGTGCGACATTAATGGTAATGCCACGAGCCTTTTCTTCAGGAGCATTATCAATCTCACTATATCCTTTAGCTTTTGCTAAATGCTTCTCAGACAAAACTATTTACAAGTTTTTGTTAGTTTATATTTTTACAATGGAAATAATCATCCTATAAATAAAGCAAATACCTTTGGTAATAGCTGCTGTTAGAGTGGTTTTGCCATGATCTACATGACCTATAGTACCTATATTACAATGTGGTTTATCGCGGCTAAATACCTTCTTTTCTGCATAGAATCTCTGACTGGTAACAGTTGGAAGGAACAGCCGACTGTTCAATTGACATTGCTAAAAAAAAATCATGATATGAAATTAAATGTAATTTATTTAGCAAGAAATTATATTATGTTTATTATATCGAGTGAGACTGCATCTCGATATATACTACTAATATTGAAATCTATAATTTACATGATAATAATAAATGTAAAATTAATTACCAGAAGATGGCCAATATATGAAAGTATTTATGCTAATTAAGAAAAATTAATAACAATTAAAATTAATAAATTAAAGAAATAAAGAAATTAAAGAATTAGTAAAATCTAACCATATACAAAGTAAGGCATTTAGAGTGTTATAAGTATTATTCCTAAAAATATCCATTAAATTAAAAATATGTTCAAACAAAGATTAAATGATTGTAAGGAGACTGATAATAATAAAACCAAAAAAATTGATATTTCAAAGTTAAATAGAGGTTGCCTCTACTTTTTTTAAACAATATGATTTTTTCTTTTACATAATATAATTTCTATATTATTCTGCATACAAAAGTATTAAGATATAAATATTAAAAACTAAACAGTTTACAAGATGTAGTATGTTCTATTTTAACATATTTTATAATATAAAATATTAAATATCTTGTATACATTAATTTTTCCATAAACATACTATCATACCTTTATGCACACAATAAAATTAATCAATTGATATAAACACATAGCTGGTTTAAAAAAAATGTTATGTAATTATAGATAACAGCTTAAACAATTTAAATATCCCACACTCTGTATGTATTTTAACATCTATATAACGTAAAAATATTGCAATTTTTATTAAAATATTTATATAAACTTGGAAAGAAAAGGGCACTAGAAGTTAAGCGCAGATAACTTTACGCAAACGCTGATATATATCCAGTAAAATTTATTTATTATTGTGCTAGTGCAATTATTATAATAAATAAGTTTTGCTTGATATATATCAGCGTTTGCGTAAAGTTATCTACTCTTAACTCCTAGTGCCCTTTTCTTTCCAAGTTTATATTTGAATTATACAGGAGTTTTTGTTATTTAAAAATTATTATACGTTAACATATCGATCAAAGCAGCACTAAGTTATAATGAAGTTTTCATAAATAACAATTTAAAAATTAATTCTTGAACCGATTCTACAATGAGTCAGTAATCGGTAATGCTAAATCTTATAGTAGTTCTACAATAAATTAACAATCAGAAGTTTTAACCAGTCTTAATCTTAAGTCATATAAGTTGACTATTAGCCAACTCCACCGATTAACAGCTTTCTAAAATAAATCATTATTTAAATCTTTTAAGACTTAATGCCATATAAGAAATTGATCAATTAAAACAGTGTGCATTGATTTCTGAATATAACTCATGTTTTATAACTCAATTACGACTATCTTTGTACTCTTATGCTCAATTTCTTCACCTCTAAATAACTTTTCCAAGAGATATTTCCATTGTATTCTGGGAGATATCTCCTAGATAAAGTTATCTGTAATTTATCTGGCAGTAAAGAAATTAGGCATCAGACCAAGTTAAGATTTGAGATTTCCGATCACCGACTCGTTGTAGAATCAGCATTATAAAAAGAAAAGAAGAAAAAGTAAAATCAGCATCATGCGATTATTGAGAATCATGAAAATCTTGATGAACCAAGAGTCCAAAGAGAGTTAAGAGATTGTTCATGACAACCGTTCACTTACACATTTTAGTTGCTTCGCAAAAATAATTTGCTTGAAAGTTTGCCTCAACGCTGAAACAGAAAGATTTACATGATGAAAACTTACAAGCACTCTGTTACTATCCGTACTTAACCTAATTTCTCCTGCAAGAACGGATCGTGTACACCAACTAGTGTAAATATGTTTCGATAAAGAAAAGCTGTGCGAAATGTTTGGCGAAAATTTACCTTAAATTTCTGTCGTTATCGTGAACTTATCTTATTAGGTATTTTGCACTTACCAGGACTAAAAATCACCCTTGTGGAAATAAATGCCATGTTCCATCCGTTGTGTGTGATTATCTTTACATCCGTCTGCTGTGTTCAGGAACATCACTCGAGTGCTCCCATGTATCGTCTTGTCCTTATTTAACATGATTGGACAACAAGGGTAAAACGATATACGGGAGCACTCGAGTGGTGTTTCTGAACGCAGCCCTACATCTTCTTGTTTAGGCTGCGGTCCATTTGATGTTACGAATGCTTCAAAGCATTTTTTGATTGGACAATTAGTATAATATCTTTCTTCTGATTAGTCAGTCAAAAGCTTCGAAACATTTTGTACCGTCAAGTGGACTGCACCCAGAGACTAGCCATAAAATATCCAGTTTTGATTGGTCCTCTAAAAGCAATACCTGCTCATATTTGAATCACTCTGACATTATCATTAATGTTATAGTGTTATATATTTCGGCAAAACAAATAAAAATTGTTTTATGATAAATAAATATTATGATCTTTATATGCAAAACAAAAAATAATATATATGAAAAAATTCCCTATATTTAATGTTTAATTAATTACAAAATAAAATAAAATTAATGGGAAGGAAAATAAATATATAAAACATAAATTTAAATATTTTCTGTTCATATAACATTAATTACGCGCGTGTATGTATGCGTGAATATATTATACATACATTATATTATAAATATATTATAAAATATATTATAAATATATTACATACATATATAATATACATAAATTAAATAAACATATTGGATATTTATAAAAATATTGTATTGTTATGTAAAATATTAAGCCCATTATATAATGTTTAAACATATAAGTACGATAATAATTATAATAAGTTACAAAATGGAAAAATATAGGATTAGCGCCTATCGCAGATGTAATGATTATAAATTATAAGTATATAACTTAAGGCAGTGGCGTAGCAGAAAAAATGTTTCGAGGGGGAACTGTAGAAATCAGTTTTTTAAAATTTTCTTTTTTATACTAGTGACGCATTTGGTATAAGCATAAACAAAAAGTTACGTTTAAAACACGTCAAATAAAAATGTAATTAATGTTGATTCATATATTTTGTACATCAATTTGATCACTTTAGTCGCCAATAAGTTTAAGCCTCTTTTTTTAATTTCTTAATTTTTTGTATTATTTTTAATCTATAATTATTTAATTTCTAATTTAATTTGAAGAAATTTTCTGGAAAGTTTCAGATCTTTAAATTCAATAACAAAAAAGTTAGGATATAATTTAAATACATATGTCATTATGCAATGTTGCGTTAGACGTTTCGCTGACGCTGCATACAAATTGTCATAATTTTTTTACTATTACATTTAAAGATCTAAAATTTTCCAGAAATAACATATAAATAGCATTAATAAAAATTTGCAATTCGAAAATTCGTAACACGTTTTGCGGTTGACCTAGCAGCAACATTTTTCTTCCGTGTAATTCATCGAATTTTCGTTTACGTGCCAAATACAAAGGAAAATTAACAGATATATTTTTAATACATAATAAACGATATTTTTGCAAGAAATTAAATACGAGAACCATCCCAACAGGATTTAATTTTCTTTCTCAAAACAAAATTGACATTTACGACTCGACAATTTTTTACACACTCTTATATAAAATTATCGAAATTCAGAATTTCCGAAGGGGGTGCTGATGCCCCCACGGCCCCCTCCCCCCGACTACGCCACTGACTTAAGGGTTCACAATTCTAGTGGTTGCTCGGTCCTGCTTCTCTCTTCTCTCTCGCAGCTTTACTTCTCGACACTTCCTCAAGACGACACGGGGCGTTTGATGGCACACATCCGCGGGGCGCAGCGCCGCGGCATCCGTACTTGGCGTGACGAGGCTGACGTCATCGGCGCGTGCGCGCCGCGTCGGGACGGCACTGCAGAAGCAGGCGAGTTCGCGGATGTATCGATTTTACGATCGTGCCTCTTGGTGCCTCTCTCACCGTGTCAGTGCGACCGTCGTTTCCCTTAGTTTTTTAGTGGACGTGCATGTTGTACATGGATAAAACCGTGAATGGGATTACCCGTTAGATACGTCGCTCCGTACACCGCCCGCTGACTCGCAACTTCTCGTCATCCTTCACCATGACCAAGGATAGATTAGCAGCCCTCGTCGCGGTGAGTGACTACTCTTGCTAGTTCGTCTGTCTCTCTTTCTCTCTCTCTCTCTCTCTCTCTCTCTCTCGTACACGATGCTCGGAGCTGCATCGTCTGCATACGTGTTCTATCATCGTCGTCGTCGTCGTCGTCGTCGTGGTTGGGCACGCGTGACTCACGCTCTACGACACGACCATGAAATAGTGTCACTCGGTAAACGCGGACTCATCGCGAGTCTAAACAGTCCGCCAAGGAATCGCCGAGAGAGCTTAACCGGTGGAAGCAGTGGATGAAACAGGCGCTCACCCCGGCCCACCTCGACGTACCGAGCTGACAGGTGTTCGCACCTTGGAATAATCATTAGACCGCGACGTTAGTAGCTCGCTGCATAGCGGTCCACCGAGCCGGTGGGGTCCATGGCGACTGTCGTCGACCTTGTTCGTTTATTAGATATACACACCGACGAATCCGAGAATGTATATTCATTATCGTGAGATCGCGCGGGGTCTACACTTCCAACGAAGGTCGCCCCCTGGGTTGTTTATGAGGATGGCACGTCTATACGTTCATTCACGCGATCGGTACGAGATATAAACACCGACCTACCGGAAAAGTTAACTGGATCACTTTTTGTCAATAGTTGAAACGTCATTTTTGTTAGAACGGCGCCGGTGAAAAGTCTCCACGAGTCACCACACCTTACTTTATGGAGTTTAACTTGAAAGTCGAAATCAGTGAGTTGACGGTCGATTTGAATATCCGGTAGTCGTACCGCCTACCTTGACGAGTTTCCTCAACATTTTTTCAACGAAAGCTGTATTATTTCCATGCAATATGCTACGAAATGAGGAAACTTTCCCGTGTCGGATACTTTCGACAATTATTTATTACACATCATCTCGTAGAATGAGAAGGAAAAGTATTTTCGATAATTATTTATTACATGTAGGTTGTTCTGAAAGTTTCCGCGAGATGGCATTGTACGTTGTGTCACATAAAAACTGTTGATATGTTAACTTTACTTCATCTTTTAATGACACTTGCCGACTTGCCTTTGATGCATCCAGCATTCATTCGTTCAGTCGTGCGAGACACATTCGAAGTCTGAAGTTGACACACTCTTGAAAGAAAATGAATTTATTACGAGAATATTTTCGCACGACGATTTTCTAAGATTTTTTAAGAAGTCGCTAATTCCGTTACAATGTATTGAGAGTCTTCGTTCGGCATTTGGCGACGAAGCACCATCTCAAAAGACTGTTTACGAGTGGTAGGACTTAAAGCGCGGTTGAATAAAACTCAGTAAAGAATCCTGTGAGGATCGTCCTGTCACTCCATAGAACGTCGATGCTGTACGTAACTTATTGCAGGAAGACCATCGCACGACTCACTTTAATTTCCACCAATAAAAGATTAACTTTAATCTCGGTTTAATTTACTGTTTATCTTTTTCTATAAATTTTTATAACTAGAAAAAGACGGAGAGTAAATTAAAGCGAGATTAAAGTTAATCTGCATTTGTGGAAATGGGCATTACAGAGAAATAAAAACATTCGTAGACATTGAACATTCGTATGACACGAATCAAAACAAAAATAATAATAAATACAGTAAAGGACCCTTAGTTTAAAACAAATAGTGAAGTAGAAAGACAAATTAAGAGGCAAAACTTTAAAAAAATTTTTTTCTTTTTAATGAAATAGTCGAAACATAAAAGAAAATTTAAAATTGTCAAAAAAGCAAATAACATAGAATTAAAAAATATATAAAAGTATAATAACTTTAACAGAAATCAAATCAAAACAATCCTACATGATAATCTTGGCGTCAGAAAATTGTGTGCTTGTTGGATATCGGAGGCCCAAAAAAAGGCGTATATCAAATGATGCGAAGAAATGATGCTCAAAAAATATGACTATGATCGGTCCAGAGCGGTATACGTCATCGTAGGTGACGAATCATTATTGTTATGAACCGGAAAACAAGCGGCAATCGTATGTGGGTGTTCCCAGATGAGCCGCATCCAACAAAAGTGAATCACGGCAGAAGTGTTGGGAAGAAAATGATTGCATCGTTCTTCAGGAGAACCGATCTTTATTGTGCCTGTCGTGCTTGAAAATCGTCGACGATTAATACTGACAATGAGTGGTACACAACAATTGCCTGCCGGCTGTATTTGAAAAAATTAGTCAAAGTTGGCCAAGATTGCGCATCATTTTGCATCAAGACAATGAATTGTCGCACAATGCAGAAGAGACTACTCAATTTTGGCCAGTGCCCATGTAAAATTGATAACTCATCTACTGTACAATCCAGATACATTATTAATCATTATGAATAAGGAAAGCAGAAAGTAATCACATTATAATGAAGTAATCTTTAATAGTATATTGAATTTTGAGTTAATACATATATGAATAAGAATATTACTTCTGTGTAATATTTTCTTTTTCTATAATATCCTCAATATCTTAGTTTGTTAAAAAGTGAATATATTTTATACTTAGTTGACGTCTTACGAGATTTTGTACCGCGGCTTGAATGAATATTTAAGAGATATCTCTGAAAAAATTCTAAAGTGCATGCGCATTGTGTTGGATATTCTATGTTTAAAATATAATATGCGCACATCAACATTTTCAAAGCTTCATAGAAACAATATGTTCTTTCGATTTGTGTAGCTACTATAAATAAATAAAACATTCGGCGTGCCCCGCATCATCTATTTACAATAACGAAAAAGTCATCAAATTACAATTACAGTAGTTTTTTAAATACCCTGGGCAACAAAATTAACGCAACACCTGTTTCACTCTGCAAAAATAGGCAAACTTCAAGATAAAATAACTTCGTCAAAAACCTCTACTTTTCAGATCGCTACTTGAAAAAGTGGTCTCACGCAGATTTTATGAAGTTACACAAACATAAATGAAGATATATCAGATCTCAAAATTTTTTACGAAATTTGCGGAGTTTCATGGGGCGGACTAAAAATTGTACGCAAATGCGATTTACATCACTCGAAAGAGCGAATCTTTACCTTTAATTTACTTTTTTTTTACGAAGCTTCGTACGATTTTTTTTCACCGAGTTATTCAACGTTGAAGCAAAAATGACCCTTTTACTACAATAACTCGGTGAAAAAAAATCGTACGGAGCTTCGTAAAAAAAACAAATTAAAGGTAAAGATTCGCTCTTTCGAATGATGTAAACCACATTTGTGCACAATTTTTATTTCGTGCATTGGAACTTTTCAAATTTCGTAAACAAATTTTTAGGTTTAACGCACTTTTATTTATTTTTGTGTAACTTCACGAAATATCAGTGAAACCGTTTTTTGAAGTACAGTCTGAAGTTACAGTCTGAAAAGTAGAGATTTCAAGCTTTAAAATGCTTTTCTAAACATTTCGATTCGACGATTTTTTGACGAAGTTATTTTATCTTGAAGTTTGCATGTAACTACTGAACAAAATTAAAGACACTTAAAATAAGCGTTAAAAAAACCAAACTCAAATTTCATATATCTCTCCGCGAAGAACGGTTGCGAAGCGAAAAAACTTTTTACAGCCATAACAAATGTCTTTAATTGTAAGTGAAGTTTAATATTTTCTTTTTAAAATTTTTTATTATTATACTACAATTTTTTCACTGAATGATTTGTAAGTGAGTAATGTATTGTGTAGCCTTTTCTTTGAAAATTTCTAAAAATGTTACCGCCGGTATTAGCATTATCCGAGGTGTACCACAGAGAGGTTACACGGTCGGATTTACACCTCGTGTGCGTCCGAGTGCGTTCGGTGAAATGCGTGGGTAACAACAAATAATTAAGTTAATGCGAATTTTATCTTAAATAATGCGCGTTTACATAAAAATAGAAGTTACGTTTTTTTATGCAGATTTACAGCTCGTTTTTACCAAATATAATTACTAATGTAAGTGTATTTAAAGATTCTATAATTAGCTATAATTATAAAGACTTTGAATACACTTCAAACTTTTCCAATTATATATTGTTAATTTAAAAAAGAATAAAAGCTATCACAAAATTATCAAGTTTTGGAAAAACGACTCATTAAGTTATAACAAATTTAACATGTGAATTATAACAATACGTGATAGATAATATGAGTCAACCGCTGGTTATTATTAGCGAATATAATTTAATTATTAAACATAAATAAATAAATTATATTATATTTTCGCTATTAGTATTAAGATGATAATTTAAGATGTAACTTAGCAAAAACGAGCTAGAGGCCCTCCACCACCCCCGCCGATTTTATCGTCGGTCCTCTTTTCTTTCTATTAATATACTCATTCGCAAAAAACGGGCCATTGTAAATATAACAGCCTGTTTTTGCGGGTAAGTATTTATGTTGTTTTCTTTTTTTATTTCTATTTTAATTTTTAATTATTTTATTTTATATAGGTACATACATTTTTGAATACAATTTTCTAATAAATACAATCTTTAATTATATAATATAATTCTTTATTCAATTTAATACAATAATTATAATACAAAATAATTATATTTATATTACAATAACAGTATTGTAATACAATAATAATATTACAATAACAGTATTATATTACAATAATAATATACAATAGTAAGAATTATTTAAAATATACAATAATATATACAATTATAAGTGCTGTTTAAAATACATTAAAAATGAGCATAATTAAAAAATGTTAATGTGGACACGAAAACGTCGAAAATACGTATGATAACACAAAATTTTAGTAGATCAATGGTTATTGAAATAATAAAAAATAGAATGAAATATTCACGATAATTGAATCATATTTTTTTTATTTTTAATGTTGATTTATTATTATAAAATTTATTAAGTATAATCTAATGAAATTTGATAGATTTATGTTGTGGTGCGCCGGTTAATATCCGATACAAAGAAGAAAAACCTTCATAGTAGGAAGCGAATTTAATGTATTCCGTTTCTACGTCGTAAAATCTTTGCAAAGAAAAATTAAGCAATCCGTCAAACACCAACGGA